ATAGCTTAGCTAGAGAAAGGCCGAAGCACCATAGTCACGCAACACAGCACAAAGTACCAAATTGTAACTAGTTAGATAGAACGGCCTTTGGCCAAAAGTCTTACATAGCCAACGGCTGATACAGGACTATAATGGAATAATAATATAAGACCTCTTCATGCTCTCGTCCTAGATGGGAAATGTATTTGCCCTCTTGGTTGAAGACTTTCGCGCAGAGGAAGCATTTGTAGTTCACACGATGAAACATCATTTCATGTTGGAACCATTTGTTGATGTCACCAAAATATGGTGCATCACAGTCTGGGAACGTGCAGACATATGGACGAAGATCTGAGAAGACGTGCTTTTTCCACATACGCTCGCTCTTGAACTTTTTGATGCGAAAGCAGAACGGACATTCAAACTCTTTCCCATGACCAGTGCGTAAAGAGTCAAGCTTTGGGATGCGAACATTGGTGGATGACTCATGGTCGCCGTCGATCGAGCCGGATATTGTTGTGTAGGAACAAGCATCATCTGAATCTGATTCATCGGCAGCATTCAGTTGAGGTGCGAGCCTTTCAGCGGCGATAGTGGTGGCTTTAGTGAAAAAGGAAGGTAGACTCTCCCTATCTAGTGTTGGCTTTGAACGCAGCGACTGCTTGATGTTAGGAATTTGAGGTTTGTAGGCCAAACCACCCGGATGTTCGTGGTAATTGAGTGGACCTGCTAGTTTCTCACGGTGGTCTTGTATGTAGCTGAGATAATGCCTTCTTTGCGTAATAGCTCTCCCAAGCCGTTGACAAAGCCAGGCCGAGTCCTTTGTGGCAAGCTTCGGATGTTTCTCGCCAACATGGGAAATGCCGAATTGGTCATTGAAGCTGTATCTATTACGGCTAAGTGCTTTCACAAAAACATCTGTGGGTGCTGCACGTCGGATGAGAGTTGAGATTCTGAAAAGCTGGGTGACGGTCCCACTGATCTCTTCCTGAAGCTCGTTCACTTCACTGATCTCTCCTCCACATTCATCATCAGTCTCCTCAGCAACCGAGACCATTCCTTCTCTTTTACCAGAGACAATATCCAGGAGCTCTCCAGTGACTTCTTTCAAGTCGTCTAAGAGGCCCACAATGTGAGTGAGCACATCATGGGCTCCTTGCAATCGTGACTCGATGGACATGGGTGACTCGGGTTGATGAAGAGCTCCAATGTTTCCAACAAAAAGACTAAGCCTGTCCAGTTCCTCCCTCATTCGAAGATTTCTGGAGTTTTTGCCATTGCGATCTGGCTGGGGTGAGGCCGAGATGACTTCTTGGAGAATAGCGATACAGGAGCGGCATTGGGCTGACACTGACAGTGTCATGTTTCATAATCCAGTGATCAAGAATCTACTTCACCAAAAAAGGCGGTTGTGTGCTCCGGTCTCGCACAGCTGTTCCGGCAATAGCATTGGGAGGTCGGTAACAGGAATATACTAATGATCGTGGTGTGATGGAGAAGTCGCGTGAAGGCTGAAGTCACCTGTGGGGCCAAAAACGCGGGGAAGGAACGCCACCATTACTGTTGAGCCTTCCAACTTGTCATCCTCAACTGTCCCTTCTACATTACTTATTTTAACGGAACATTGTAAACATCAGTATGAGCGGCCTGGAAGTAGCGGGCACTGTTCTTGGCGCCTTTCCGTTACTCATAAGCGGCATCGAGCACTGGCGTGATGTTGCGAAGGTCGGCGGCTTCTACTGGCGGATACGTAAGGAATACGCCAAATGCCAGCGCGATATCCAGTTCCATGAAATCGTATATAAGAACAACCTCAAAGAACTCCTGTTGCCACTCCTTCACGACGTCGATGAAGTTGCAAAGCTCATCGCAAACCCGGGTGGTCTAAGGTGGAGTGATAAGGCATTACAAACACAACTGGAATGCAGGTTGAAAGAGTCGTACAAATCGTATTTGAACACCATGGCTGAAATGAATGAGATCGCCGAAGAGCTAAAGAAAGAGTTATGTTTTGACGAGAAGAATGTACAGGATAAGCTCTCACCACCAGAAATAAAACGACGGAACGCCAGTCGGTCGCCAAGCCCTCAACAGGGCACACGACCTTCGAAGTTGTCTACTGCAAAGGGCAAACTGGATTATGAATTCTTCCGAATGAAGTTTAGCATTGGGGAAAGAAGCAGAGATGAGCTGTTTGGTCAGCTGAAAGAATGCAATGAGCGCTTGGAGAAGCTGCTGAGCTCTAGCGATAGAGTCTCTGCACTCCAAAACGCCGCACCCGGATCTACCAGAAGAACCTCCGAGCTGGAGTCCGCTTTCAGAAAGATCTCCAAAAAATCACATCTGTTGTTCCGGGCGCTGCAGAATGCGTGGCAGTGCTCATGTCAGCAGTACCACTTCGCGAACTTGAGACTTGAGCATCGAACATTTACCGAAGTATGTTTCGAGATCGTCTTCATGTTTGTCGCACCCTCAGAACATGGGGTTACACCATGGAGCCAGAAACAGATTCTCTGTGGTCATATTCCTGGCTGTTCTTCGACTCAGAAGAGACTGGAAACGACCAAGTCTTTTACGCGTCAACACCCGCCGGACCCTTTGCCGACACGAGCTGGTGCGAAACCCCACTCAACTACTTACTGCAAGAAAGTGGGTTTCGCACCACCCAGACCTGCTGTACCAAAGATACAAATAGACATGTTTTTCGATCATAATGTGCAGTTATGCCGGCGACTAGGCGACGAAGAATGTGAAGTATGCATGGGCATCGTTAGCCATGATGACGAAGCCTTTCATCTTCATCCGGTCAACCAAAAACCGGATCAACCCGGAAATGGACCCATCACACTTGACCACATTCTCTCTCGTGATTTTGAAGACCCCCTTTCGCGGCGCCAGCGCTATCAAATTGCTCTCCTTGTTGCTTCATCAGTAGCACAACTTTTGTCTACGCCCTGGCTACGGGCAGGCCTTTGCAAAGAAGACATCATCTTCTTTACTTCGAAAGAGAATAACGGATTGCTTCCGTACGGCGAACCTTTCATCAGACAAGGTTTCCTACAAAACCACACTCACCTTTCCTGGATTGAATCTTCTGCGGACGGCTGTAATTTTTATGCACTCGGCATACTTCTCTTAGAACTTTGTTTTGGTTGTCGTCTGGAGGATCATGCTGTATGCAAAAAGCACCCACCAAACATCGACGCCGCCACTAAACATGCCTTTGATGTCATGGCCGGATTGAAGTGGTCACGCAGCGTGAGCGACGAGGGTGGAGAGGATTATGCGACAGCTGTCAAGTGGTGCTTTACGGGTGTAACAGACAAAGAAAAGAACTGGAGGGGCGAAATTGTCAGGAATGTGATACAACCATTGGAGAAATGTATGGAGCACTTCCAAAATGTCAATGTAGTTGGATGAAAGGGTAGAGTGACGAACATATGCACATAATATTTCTCTAAAATCCGGCACCTGCTAGAACCATCAAGTCCAAAGCGTACACCTGACAGAAAACCTATGTATATCATGTGAAAGTTCAGGTTATGGTGTGCGAAAGGCAAAATGTAATCTTGGCTATGATTGCCGGGTATCGAGATGGCAAAAGGGAGACGCTAAGGAAAGTTTCGGCAATGGACTTGATTCTAGACCACGTATTATAGGAGACAGCGATAGCTTGTCACAGAGCTACAGCCCAATTGAAGACCCAAGTTTCCCGCTCTCTACCCGTGAGGAAATCCACGTGATAGAACTTGGGTACTGGCTGCTGACTGTGTTGGCAGCTGTCGAGTTTCGAGCGTGTGGTTAACAGCAGAGACTGATTTTATGTTCTAAGGAGCTCGTAGCAACACAAATAACTTGAACCTAATCAAGCTACGTTGAGAATAGTTTTGGGGTAGCTTGAAAGATCGAGATATTCACAAGTGGTAAGAAAAGAGAGAACAATTCAAGAAGCTAGCATAAAGAGATAAAAGTATAAAAATTCAAAGGAGTGGCGAGTCTAATCGTGACATGATGTTGAATCTAACCTTCTAATCCCAAGCCTCCCCCAACATAATTCCGCCCGCAATCTTCGCCTCCAGCGTTCTCCCTGCGATTGAAAGTTTTTGTGTTGGATAGGGTATTTAGCACCATCTAGCGCAAGCGCCACCATAATAGCAGTAATCACAGGCCCAGCCGCCGGGGGTATTATCACAGCCATAGGCGCACCAAGTGCACAAAGCGCTCGACAAAGACTGGCTAGGCTATTGGGCTGGTTTGATAGCTGGCTGTCCGTTGGGGAAAGGCTTCTTAACCAGAGCTTTGCTTTTCTCCTCGTACATCGCCTTTTCTTCCACAGTAAGCGGTTGGGACTTAACGATGGAGATGGCGCCAAGAAGGGCGATGAGGGTGGAAGTGACTAGAAGATACTGTGTAAGTAAAGAGCTTAGAGTGATTTTCCTCGTGCGGTCAGGGCTTAAACTGCATTTTGAAGATGGTGAAGAGAGTCGATTGAGCAGAGTCAAGTCGAGCCGAGTTGCGTTGTTATTGTCGTTGTTGGTTGAAGTTGCTATTGTTAGTGATAGAATTAAGATGTAGTGGACGAACGATGGCTACCTATCTTCCTTCTTCAATGAATGAATGACCCGTCCTATGATGCTGATGCTTTACTGACGAAAACAGCATCAAGGTCAAACGTAAAAAGGTCAACTATAGCGAACATCCACTGAGTCATAAATCCTACATGAGATCTCGAATCTGAGCGAATCTTCGGCCGTGTGGGCGTAGCTCACCGAGATCTTGATCATCATACGCATGATTGGTCATGCCGGCCATATTTTAGAAACAGACCAAGGTCATGCGTTCACTATAATTTCAAACTGGCCAACTTCTTGAATTAAATAACTCCTCTACAAACTGGATCACAATACTCGAGATCAATGTGCAGTATCCCCTAGTATTGAAACGTGTTTCTTAACAGGGGTTTCTGATTCTGTGATAGACAATGTCGCTCGTCTTGTACCTGCCATAAACTCGGGACATGTCTCTTATCCTCCACAACACTACACTCTAAACGATAGTGGCTTTGAGGCCTTGATTTGGCTACTCGATTGGGGTTTGAATAGATAGCTAGACATGTTGGGAGGCTTTAGTAAAGTAAGGTGAACATTAATGTGTAACTCGACCGAAGTCCATACGGGTGGCGATGATAAGAGGCAATTAACTCAATCTAAATCAATGCAGCATATCCTAACTTGATCAGAACCGGAGTCTGTGGAAAGATCAGACGGCTACCTTGCTCCGTTAGCTCGGCAGAGTGAGTTTCGTATTAGTACTGAGTCTCACGCTTACCTACGAAATTTGACCGAAGTCCACGCGCAGATCGCGCTCCCTCTGGCAAAATATCAGGCTGTAGAAGCTGCGACAAAGATATTAATTCTAGATGATACCAAAGTCTATATATGTGGCATGACCGCGTTGATCTACATAATCAAGCTGATCTGGTTAGTTGTTCATCTAGCTAAAATCTACGAGTAACTTAACACTTGGCCTACAGTACCGTTCGCGATCTACTACAAAGGTACCTTGAGGGAGATCGGTTCGACTCGGGCTGCTGGTAGCATAGGCATTACCGTAGATAAAGACGTACAGAACAGGGAATTTATGTGTTCACTTATGATGATGTGTCTGGTCCAATTCTTCTAACAATACATCCACTACAGGGTGGTTTACATCTGTGATTCTATCAGAGAGTATAGATAGATACCATGTACAGTGCTATCAGACCTTAGCTTGGGCCGGATTGCGGCCCTTTCGAAGACCGTAGCTCAGGAACAAGACCGAAAGGAGTTGACAATGTAAAGACACGGAAACGAGTCAACAATGCAACTCTGACGAGAAAAAATGGCTGTACTGCTTAAAACCTCCTCGTATAGTGCTATATTCATAGCGTTCCTTATCTTCACAGCACTATGGAAGAGGATGGCGTGCAAATCGGAGCTGAGGTTCTTTAAAACAGATGACATCGTCACATGAAAACACAACAAAAGTAAGGAGTGGGTATGTTAAGATCAGGTATCCAAAATTTACCTAATTTTTAGCCAGTTGCTACTATCATGCTTTGGGTCCTACGCAAAGCCCCTCCAAGTCAGCCACTGACAGCAATACAAACCACTCAACATCAGCCCCCAAACCAAACAATTATACACGGCACACATTGCATACACGATGCACAAATTCTCTCATCCGTCATCAGTGCACACGTCCCCACCAACTCAACACCACCGCCCCTCCTTGGCATCGTAGCTCAGAAAAACTCACGATCCTTGGCGCCAACACATCAAAAAAACGCCACGAGCGCCCGAGCCGTCCTCCTAAGCAAGCCTCAAGAAAAAAAATTCTTCAAAGTAGCCGCCCTCTACCTCTGACACAAGGTCGTTCTAGAAAGCGCCCCAGTCTCCACAGGCACCCGCACACTTACCCCATTCCAACATGTGCTTACTTAACAATTTCCACCACAACCACGCGCCCTAACCCTCTCCATCCCCACACCCCGAACTTTCCCCATTCGCTACCTTCTATCCCCTTGCACCCAATACAGCCAGTCAACCCGCTATACGGAAAACTAGTAATAGTAGCAACACGAGTCTCCATCCTTCCCTTCTCCTCACCACCACCACTACCAACATCAACCTAACATTCTAGACCATCTCCCCCGCCCCACCTCCACCCAACTCCTCCAATACTGTAAAAAAAATGGCGGCTAAACAAACTCCCCCGCTAACGCACCGTACCTGCCTATCATACTTAGCGCCCTTCAAAAAAACTAAATCCTCAAACAACGCGAACCCGCCATTGTCCGTCCTGACACACTTTGCACATATTCCGCACCGCGGAATCCAAAAAAACGAGTTTACATAGTAAGTGGAAAGAAAAAAAAATATGAAACGAGATGAGCGATTATGATCTATGACTTAGTGCATTGAGGGGGTTTTTTTTGGTCGGAAAAGGGAAGTGCGGAATACGGGATGGACTTTCCTGATTTGGGATATATACAGGGGTATGTGTGTGAGGCTCTGTGGGGCTTGGCGGGGGTCGGGGGTGTGAGCGTGGATCGTGGTAGTAGGGAATGTAGTGTAGGGAAGTGCCTTAGTGAGGACCCCTGGTACTTAGTAAGATGTAATTGCGGGAGTGATGGTCGGGTGTTATGGGTGTAGTGGTGAGTGCGATGGGGTGCGGCGGGTGCCGACGGTAGATGGGGTGAGGTGGTCGTGATGTGATGGGATTGGCGAGGTGGTGTGATGGGGGTTCGGCACGTGTAAGCGGTTCGGAGGGATGGGGGCGGTACGGCGCGAGATGCGAGATGGTGATTATATTGATTTCGCATGATATTGTGGTTGTCGCAGAGATATTGCTGAGTTGGCGGTGATGATGATGGTTTAATGAGCCGACGCTCGTCACGTGTATTGGCGTCATATGATGTTCTTTGCATTACAATAAGTTCTGTTACGACTGAGTCGGATGTATGTAGAGTGAAGCTTCAGTATCACAACAGCAAACTACTTTTCACTACATGCAGCTCTCTAGAATTGAAAGAGTGGGACTTTGTTCCTGTATTATATACTACTAGTAGGACTATGTAAACAATAGTCCTATCGAATGGAAACTTTTCTTGCTAAACGTCTATCTCAGTATTCGAGGAGCTTGCTGCGCGCTCAACTCGAGCAATCTACAAACGGACCGAAACGCCGACAACAAATGAGAGAGGCGAGTGCAAAGCAAAGCAACGCCTGAAAAAAAAACAAGTAAAAACGGGGGTATATCCTACGTAGTCCAAAAGTGATGATTGCAAGTAAAAATCAGACGATGGCCAAGTAAGGAAATTCGTGAATCGCCTGCTTGAGCGTGACGAGTGGGGTATAAATAACGCAAGGAGAGAGGATTCCAAAACTACCGGTCAAGGCTGAAGCTACCAGACCGAGAGCTCATGTTGGAAAAGGGGTACTCGCATTCTTCGACGTATGTGGGTGGGCTGACGGGAACATCTTCGTAGAGCGGAGGCTGCTCCTCATCCCAAGCAATACCCATGCCTGGTCGCTCGGTAAGGATCAAATGGAATTGAGTGCGCAGAACACGGGCGGCGCCGGTAGGGGTAGCTTGGCTGAGCTTCTTGAGTGGTGCCCACTCCTCAGCAACAACCATTTCAATGATCAAGTTGTGCTTGACGCTCATGCCGTTTGAGCTTTCCAGGTCGCAAAGAGGCTTCAGGGCCATGTTGCAGGCGGCCTGGAATTCGACATCGATCTCGCCCTTTTCAAAGTCGGTCTTCCAACCCGTCTTGACCTCTTCGTTGGCAATGGCACGGACATCCTCATGGAGAACGCCCTTGCCCTCACCACCAACCTTGGAAATGTGCTTGGCGCAAGCTGGGGAAATGAACTTTTGCGTCTCTTCAATGCGCCAGTTGAGTTTGCGCAGTCTCCATCGCGTTTGCGAGTCTGCCTTGTTTTGAACGATTCCAGAAAGGCGCATTTCAATGGGAAAATCGCCGATAGGGTGGATTACTGGCGGCAGCTTGACGGAAGCCGTAAGATTGGTCGGCGGGAAGATACGAATAGAATGCTTCTCCGCACCCGGAAAAATAGCGCGCTTGACGTCCAGATTGCGCTTGTAAGTAATCTTGCCCGAAGAGGTGGTAGCAACAGCGGACAGGTAATAGTCGACAGTGACAAGGCTACCATGTGTGGTAGCTGGCAGATGACCTGGCAGCAGGTGACTGAAGGGGAAGTTGTGGGGACCGTGACGCAGCGAGACGGGATGTGTCAGAAACTCCCACTTGTGGATTTCCGTGGTTTGAGTGGTGCATTCTGGGCAATGTGGGGCCACGGGCTTCTTGGTGGTCACAATGGCCAGCATGCGCATTTCAAACTTGTCGACAGTGATGAAGGGGTCGTGTACGTTGATGACAAGCTGGCCAGAGAAAATAGCGCCAGTCGATGTCTGGGGGGTGTTGTAGAAGACGATTGGTGGAGACTCTACGCTCATGTTCATGGAGGCTGCGCCCTGTGCCTCGAACTTGGGCGTCTTCTTGGCATCTTCCTTTTCTTTAGCATGCTTGTCATGCTTGTGGCGGTTGAAGATGTCCATGACTAGAGATTCTTCTGACTTTGACTTTGCCTTGACGCGTGGAGCGTCGTAAGAATAGACTGGGGGCAGCAGACCTTCAGCGTGTGGCTTGGTGGAATCCGATTTAGGAAGTGGTGTAGGAGCCACCCTCGCAAGGGTACTGAGCAGGCGGCCTGGCATTCTCTGCTAGAGAATCTGGGGTAGGGCTGTGAGTGAGCGACGTGAGTGGACGGCTGGCAGCGAAGATAGCAGAGATGGGTTGCGGAGATGTGTGGGAGAGATAAGGAATTGTCCAATGGGGGTAAGGGCGTGGGCCGACAAGCGATATGCAGGCGGAAAGCGTGGAGTGCAGCAGTGGAGTGCTTAGGAGTTGACTTTGTGTGAGTTGAGGTGGTTAATGAGATGTTGAGGCAGGAACATTGCAGGCTATCAAAAACTGACGAGGACTAGAGGCTGGGGAAGGACGAGGTCTTATTTAAGAGAGTTGATGACTGGTTTTACATGAGAGAAATTCCCTGACTGGGTTGCCTCTTGGGAGCTTTGCATGATTTCATCGGTAGTGGCACGAGCAGGGATTTTTCCGTACCCGGGCTAGACGCTTGCGGCAAGCGCATCCCTGCATCTGAGTGTAATTTTTGGGTCAGGAGGCAGGCGCGCACGGCCTGCCGCTCACGAGATCGCCGGTGAACCCAGCGAGCGTGCCTGCCAGTCTGGCCTGGCGTGCCTGCCGGCTCAAAAGACGTCAACAAACAAGCGAGAGCGAGCAAACTCCGGCTGAGTCCCGTGACCATGATGACCATGATGACTGATGACCTCGACACCCGGCAACTTGCCCATTTGCCATTAATCAATTGCACGCACGCCCTTCGCTGCTGACATGCCATCCTCACCCCTATGCTCATCTTGCCGCTGATTTCAGTCTCGCCGAAGTGTCGCGACCTCGGGCCCCGGCTACGCCTCAGCTCGCTGCCAGCGGATGCATCGTCTGCACCGTCTGCATCGTCTGCACCATCGTGGCTCGACGTCGGGGAACCTGATTTGGCTCGCCGGCGGCCATTCATTCCACCCACGCATCAGTAGCCTGGTTGTCGAGCACCACTTACGTCTCCACCCGCCAAACTCTGGGGTGTTCATCATGCCAAAACAGCGGCACACTACCCGCCCTCTCGACATTATTCGCTGACGCACATGTGATGTCCTCTTCCCCGCAACCCTAGTCTTGTGCTTGTGCCTGTCGCCAAAAAAATCCTTTGTACTATGCGATCTGGGGACGAGCAATTGACCATTTCCTCGGCCATGGCATCGTCGCAACCGCCCTTGCCTACCACCTTTCCCATACATATTGGTAGCCTGCAGCTGCTCCCAGCACATCACGCACACCTGCATCGTCGCCCACATCCACATGACACGTTGTATGCGCCCATGGTGGCTCTGTGCGAATTGTGCATCGCCTTCACCGTCGTCGCTGTCATGTTGAACATCCATGGTGCCCATGCCAAGACGCGGCGTTAGGTAATACATCGAATTTTTCCCTCGCACCGTGGGCCAACCACAGCCGCTGACTGGCCTCCCCACTCCACCCACATCTTTTACAGTCTCTTTACACATTTTGGCGGCCCCGGTCCGATGCTGGCTGAGACTCAGGCTGCCTCGTGTCAAAAAAGCACCCACTTTGTTGAGAGACCAGACTGTTCTACATTACTCGATGGAAACCTCCATGACCACGCACTAGCGCCAATCACGCAACTTGTTCCGCGTCGCAGTAATCCGCCAGCCATCACGTGGGCCGTCTACAAGACGTCTTTCGAGCAATTCCTTGCGAATCTTGCAACGTCTCGCTTAATCTGTAGCCCTGCCGCTTGAATGGCGGCCGCACACTGCGAATGTCCGAATGTCCGAATGTCCGAATGTCCGAATGTCCATCTGCCAAGACCGCTGGCAGCTAGCTCGCCATGACCAGATCGGGAAATTCATCAGCATGCGCTGCATGCCCCTGCCGGAGCCCGTGGGTCCCACATACTTATGGTTCCCTCATCTGTTCCGAGACGAATTCCGAGTACCGTACCTCGTTCCCGTCGGATATCCATCACGGGCTTGCTCACCATGCGACACGCAACTTGGGAGTCATCACGTCGTATAATTACGCCATCCAAATCACCGCGAACATGCCATGGCACCATGATGGTCAAACTCACTCACGTCTCACCGCCAATCTGCTCCACTGTATAGAGGTTTTAAATGTACACCTATGTACAGGTACCTCGCAGTGTCTACGTAGACCGTGGCCAGACGTTTTCCGTCACCCTGCGTCGTGGCTCCGAAGAGCCGCTTCAGGGCGCTGCATCCACGACCCGCGACGGGCCGACTAGAAATAACCTTCTCGAACCATCCCATTATGGTACGCTCCGATTTATGCCAATCACATGGCGAATGACCCCTGTGGCGCTCCTCAGGTCGGGATCTTCACCGGCAGTCTAGTGGTAAGAAGCATATGGCTGCATACCTCGATGAGTATTCGAGAACTTGTGAGTTTCATCGGTCGCACATCCGGTGAAAGTTACAGCATCCCAGCAGCGCAAACACTACCCTATAGGCCTCCTTTCTGCTATCCCCAACCCATCATGAGATATCTCAAGGTGGACAGGCCGGCAGGACGCGTGGCACGCAAAGTGCGTTGTCTCGATATACTTTCGCATGCTGACGCCCTGTGACATGTGGATCTTTACCGCGCGAACAAATCACTCACAAATCACTGTCTACACACTAACACGCCCGGAACAAGTCACTAGTGCCCGCACCCAAGTAGTAGCACCAAGATCGTTGCCGGCGATCTACCGGCAGAAAAAAAAAGCGTGCGGCAACCCATTCTTCCTGCCCGCTGTACCGTTTCAGCCACAAGCTTTCTTTGAACAACAAATAGGCCAGCAAAGCAGCTCCTATACCGCTCATCGCAGCAACCTCGCTTTACCGGTTGGGCGAACAGTTTCTCTTTCTCTCGCGATCCAGAATTTCCACATTTTTTCCATTCACCATGATGTAAATTGCGGGCCTCTTACGACAACTAAAATGCATAACAAGACATATATTAACTTTCTACTCGCATCATCATTGGTTGAATGTAGAATATCATTCGAGTAAAAGAATCAAAGGACTTGTTTCACATCATCTCACTCCACCGTCACCACCCATCTCTTTGTCATAAGTATGTAAAAGCAAACCTAGAAAGACGTTACAATAACCTACAGACCCCGTTCACATGAGACGGTGAGACCTTTTCCCCACATGCAAGGAAGAATGGAACAATCCTTCATGCAAGCTTTCTTCTTCTTCCTTGGAAAAAACCTTGTTGTTAATCTATGGGGTGTTAGCTTGTGACGCACGTTACATCTTGGTTTTTTTTTTCCTTCGCGCTCGTTTCCCCTGTCTTGCTTGTTAGCTCTGCCGCGGAAGGTCGTGCGTTACTACCGTTGAGCATCATGTGTAGTACAAAAATGCAAGGAGGGTCCGCCCTGAGCGTTGCACTAGTAGGTGCTGGTTTTCAGGCACTATTCACAAAGTCGTCCCTTTTTGAATTTTTCTTTTCCTTTTTTTTCTCTTCTTAGCGCTAGACCTAGGACCCACCCCCTACTCTTTGCTCGAAACAAGAAAAAAAATTCACCCTCAGGGTCAATTGCGCAATTCTCGAAAAGAAAAGAAAAACAAGACAGAACATCATCACAGATGGTTCACTTTGCAACAAGAGAGACATTCAGCTTTTTGGCAGATGCATCAATTCATTCGATCGTGCTATCCACCATGTAGACTTTTTGACCCTTCCCTTATTTTCCAAACACTAGACTCCATATAATGCAAGCCGTGGTGGTATCTCTAAGTGGAAATGTACGTCTACTCGTCGTCCTCGTCGGCCTCGTCGTTGACAACGTTGAAGAAGCGGAGCTCGTAGACACCCTTGGAGGTGGAAACAACACGGAGCCAGTCACGGAGCTGCTGCTTCTTGAGGAACTTCTTGGTACTATTCCCGTCATGTCAGCTCCTGCATCGCAATTTCCATATATATAAACCCTGCTGAGAAAAAAAAGAACGTACAGGTACTTGAGGTAGCGACCAGAAAACTCCTGGTGAGCAATGACCTCGATCTTTCCCTCGCCCTGCTGGCTGATCTGGATGGTATCACCGAGGTTACCGGTGCGGCCCTCAACCTTGATGCGGTCGTTGAGGAACTTCTCGAAAGCCTGGATGTCGAAGATCTTGTCGTTGACGGGCTGCGAGCAGTTGATGATGAACTTCTTCGTCACCTTCTGGTTCTTCTTGGCCGCGGCGCTGCGCTTCTATTTTTCAATGTGTACTTAGCCTACTGTTCTTGAACACACGTGCGCGAGAAAGAAGAGACACACTCAGACTCCGGAGAAAGGTGTCTGGTGCTCTCTCGCGCCGGAGGACAGCAAAGCGGTTGTACGTACGGTAGTAGACATCTTGATGAGATTTTGGGGGGTGAGCGCAAAGAGATGGGTATCCTGCGTCTTCTTTTGTGGTGTTTGGAGGGGTGGAAGAGGGGAGCTGTCGTGAGGCGCGCCGGTCGTTGTTCGCTGTGGGATTGCAAAATGCGACAGTGGGGTACTAGGCTTAATGCGGACTGGTGTGCCAAGTGTTCGACCGAGGACTTATCGATACGCCGACATCCGTCAACGTTAATGATTGACATTGACAAAAGGTTGACAGTTGGATGTTTGCAATTATTAATTGTTCAGAAATAATTGACTAATGGTGGTCACATGGCTGTATCACTACTCAAAAGCTATTATAAAACATCCACACATACAAATACACTATCACAACATCTTGCTTGCCTTCACGCTTCCTCAATTGTTCTAAACATCATAGCTTCCGTCGATTGTACGCCCAGTAAGCCTTCATCGGCAATTTCCAATCCAAATTCCTCAAAGAGGGGTCAAAGATGTCAAAATCAACTCCTTGCAACTTATCCAGCCATGCCTGCGTCGCAACGCTGGGCATGAAAACACCAAATGCTTTTTCGACTTCTGCCAGCTGCGCCTCTTGTCCAGTGTTCATCTGCTGCACACTATACTGATGGTCCTCCTCGTGCTGATGCTCAAAGTCATGACCGAGTGTCCCTTCGGATCGTAACTTGTTTAGCATTTCTCGAGCTGTAATAAGATGGTCATTTGCACGTGTGGCTACCGTGAAGATGGCGTCGCGGAGACCAGGGGCGGAACCGCCTTGTCGGAATACATCTTCCTCTCTAACGGATGCTTCAGCCATGACATCGAGTGGAAGGAGAACAGCGCCTTGGGCCGGTCCTGATTGGCCTGTAATGGAATTGCTGGTACCGAGTGCCTGTTGTTGTGGGAATGCGATGAAAGGAATGCCTCGTAGCACTGCCGCTATACCCATTGCCTTTCCAATGTGTGATGCGATATGATCAGTTGTAAGAGATGCTTGCGGCAGTGCAGAAAGGGTAAGGTACAACATGGTCGAGTACGTATTCTCTGCATAGCTCTCCAATGTGCTCAAGGTTGGATATGGTGGATTCCCTAGATACTGTTCTCGTGTGTTGATGATGCGATGGAACCAATTCTTGCTCAACCGTGCTTTCCCGTCGGACCGCTCATGCAAGTCTTCCGCGGCTTGTGCCAGCAAAATGGCTACTGGTTCTTTTGGCGGGGTTCCTGCAAGTGCTTTGGTTATAGTATCCCGCCAAAATTGCATGCGCATCATGCCAATGGTGGGGGTACTGGTCGTATCGGCGACGCGGGCAACGTCGACATTGAAGGCACGGATGGCAAGGTAAGCATCGCGGGAAGATTGCGGTATGAAAGTTTGCAGGATATGTGAGGGTGTGTCATATGTTCTGCAGATGGTCAACGAAAGGCCGATTGTTAGTGGGAAAGGTGTAGTCACCTGACTAAATTTGCGCAGTATGCGCGGGCCTTTGCAACTTCATCTTCTGAAGGCTTCGCTGTACTATTGAGACGTAGAGAAGCATGGAGGAACCTGCGCTTGGGCCCTAAGAAGCCTTGTATGCGCCGGAAGGGATCCGCGCGGAGTCTCGGTGGTGGCATTGAAACTTTTTTTAACAGCAATCAAGATTTATAGTGCAATATGAACGGCCATTGCGCAATGCAAACAGCAATAAAAAGGGAAGACGCCTGTGATTTAGGCAGGAGAGAAGTCCAAAAAATGAAGAGTAGTATGAATTGTTTCGGGGTAAGGCACAAAGGGTCGAAGGCGACTGGTTGGTATGTATGACGCTATAATGTCGATCATCCGTACGTTAGGCCATGTGGGTTCGTGAAAGCGCGTCGACGCGTCTAACCACTTTCCCAAGCGGCGAAAGTCCCAGCGCCCAGCGACCGTCACCAACACCATGCAATCCCCACATCCAGACGAGCGACCCTTCAAAAAGCGCCGTTTCTTTACAGAAGATTCATCGCCAGTACAAGTTCGCTCAAAACCCGCTGACCTCCCTCCATCGTCGTCGCCGCCACCGCCGCCACCACAACAGCCTCAGGACAGCGAACCGGCACCAATCGAGGAGACTGGCAATGGAGTGCAACCAGACTTTGACGGTTTCGATATCGAAACTCTCCAGGCTATCGTTGGAGAACTTTCAATCTCCACGCTGCAGAAGTTGAAGGATGTCAGCGCAAGCAATGTGGAGCGAGGTATGCATATACTTGGAAGTTATTAGAGCCTACTCTAACATATCCAAGCCATCAATCTATATTTGGATGGCTCTTGGAGCACAATGCCGTCAAGATCCCCGGCATCAACCCTCCAGTCTCGTCCACAGCCAGTCCAGATGACAATAGCGAGTTCACTCAAGCGCACCGAATCCGACGTTTCAAATGCCCCCACACCCGCATCAGGTTCCTCCACGCCCAAGGTGATACGCGATATGCCTAATAAACGGTACATTGGATCGTTCGGCGCCGCTGCATGGGCAACCAAGAGCGGGAGTGGCCTTCTCAAGCACAACGAGAAGGTTCAGATCGAGCGTGTGAAGCCGCAGCCTAAATTGAACAAGGCTAAGAAAGTCATTCAACTTAAAAAACCAGATATTGTGGTGCGATTTATAAACGAAAAAGGAGAAGAGGTTGGAAGGCTGGACCAAGATACAGCATCATGGGTGTCCGTGCTAGTAGACCAGAATTTGTGTTCGTTTGAAGGTTCCGTTGTGTATACTCCTGATAAGCTGCGGACTGGAGATACTATCTACCTGCAGCTACGAGGTTATTTCCTGCGAGGGGCATTCGACAGTCAGAAGTTTATGAAGCCTGATAACAATCGAGAGATCAACCTATTCGAAGAAAAGGAATCCTCCGAGGAACGAGACCTTCGATTACGGCAGGTCGGCCTCATTAAGCTATTCGAGGCTATCAATCTCCATCCTACCCATGAGAACGAGACAACTGCGAAGCACCGGCGCCAGGGACTGCTGCAGGCAGCAGAGGGTGATGAAAAGAAGGGTGACAAGCCCAAGCCAAAAACCAGTACACCGGGAACACCTTTGGCTCCTGCCGATCCTACATCTTCGCCACCACCAGATGAGGTCGAGGAAGGAGAGGAGCTTGAACAGAGTCAATTAGATTCCCTATACAGGAAGGCGCAATCGTTTGACTTCAACACACCAACTATGGACCCAGCCAGCACTTTCCGTTTGAATCTGCGAAAATATCAAAAGCAAGCCTTGTTCTGGATGGTCAGCAAGGAGAAGGACGAATCAATAGAAGACAGAGAAACATCAATGCACCCGCTATGGGAAGAGTACCAGTGGCCAACACAGGATGCAGACAATCAGCCCGTACCGGCTGTTGCAGATCAAGCTATGTTCTATGTCAACCCCTACTCGGGCGAGCTATCACTGGAGTTTCCGAAGCAAGAGCAGAATTGCTTGGGCGGTGTCCTCGCTGACGAGATGGGTCTGGGCAAGACTATCGAGATGCTCAGTCTGATCCACACGCACAGAACGGAGGTGGATAATGCTGAGACACTGGGTACCCCAAGATCTCTGCCAAAACTCCGCAAGGCTAGTGCTGCTGTTGAACCTGCTCCATATACCACCCTCGTCATCGCGCCAATGTCTCTACTGGCGCAATGGCATAGCGAAGCTGAGAAGGCATCAAAGGAGGGTACTTTGAGAGCAATGGTGTACTATGGCTCCGAAAAGGCAGTCAATTTACAAAAGCTATGCTCCGCCTCAAATGCCGCTAATGCACCAAACGTCATTATTACGAGCTACGGTACCGTGCTTTCCGAATACAACCAAGTCCTTGCACAAGACGGGAATCGGGGGTCGCACGGTGGTATCTTCTCATTGGAATACTTTAGGGTCATTCTTGATGAAGCACACTATATCAAGAACCGGCAGTCGAAGACGGCGAAGGCTTGTTATGAGCTCAGCGCAAAACATCGCTGGGTACTGACAGGAACTCCAATCGTCAATCGCCTCGAGGATCTATTCAGTCTGGTGCGTTTCCTAAAAGTTGAGCCGTGGGCAAACTTTTCATTCTGGAAGACATTCATTACTGTTCCATTCGAGTCTGGAGATTTCGTGCGTGCCTTGAACGTTGTACAAACAGTGCTTGAGCCGCTGGTACTTCGTCGAACCAAGGATATGAAGACACCAGATGGCAAAGCTCTGGTGCCATTGCCACCACGGACAATCGAAGTTGAGAAGATTGTGCTGTCCCAAGATGAGCGAGATGTGTACGACCATATATACATGCGCGCGAAGAGTGTATTCAGTGCCAATGCAGAGGCTGGAACATTAATGAAGTCGTATACTACTATCTTCGCTCAGATTCTCCGGCTACGGCAGTCGTGCTGCCACCCCGTCCTTACTCGCAAAGCCAATATTGTTGCTGATGAGGAGGATGCTTCGTTAGCTTCTGACCTTGCAAACGGCTTAGCAGACGACATGGATCTCTCTAATCTTATTGAGCGCTTCGAGTCTGAAAGTGATCAAGACGTGAGCAGGTTTGGCGCAAATGTCTTGAAGCAGATACAAGATGAAAATGAGGCCGAGTGTCCCATCTGTTGTGAAGAGCCCATGAACGAGCAAGCTGTTACTGGGTGCTGGCACTCTGCGTGCAAAGAGTGTCTGCTCAACTACATTGCCCACCAACGCGACAAAAATGAGATACCGCGGTGTTTCAACTGCCGCGAGCCCATCAATGCGCGCGACGTTTTTGAAGTAATTCGGCATGACCACCTTGCCGAGGACAACGAGCCCAATCATGCTTTCCGCCCTTCAGACGTACCACCACCAACCTCCACACAAATACCACGGATCAGCCTCCGCCGTGTCGGCCTCACCGGCTCCGCCAAAACCCAAGCACTGATAGGCCACCTCAAGAGAACCCGCAAAGAAGAAAGGAATACCAAAACAGTAGTCTTTTCGCAATTCACATCATTCCTCGACCTTATCGAGCCCGCTTTAACACGCGATCACATACCCTTCCTACGATTCGATGGCTCTATCACTCAGAAAGCACGCGCCCAAATCCTCGCAGAATTCACCACATCTCCGAAGCCGTACGTCTTGCTGCTGAGTCTTCGCGCAGGCGGTGTCGGCCTGAATCTCACCTGTGCAAGTAAGGTATTTATGATGGATCCGTGGTGGAGTTTTGCCGTCGAAGCTCAAGCCATTGATCGTGTGCATCGTATGGGTCAGGAGCGGGAAGTAAAAGTGGTAAGATTTTGTGTTGAGGGTAGTATTGAGGAGAAGATGTTGAGGATCCAGGAGAGGAAAAAGTTCATGTAAGTTTTTGCTAAAACCCTTCCCCTTTCATGGACTAGTTCAGTGTTGTCACTTTTTGTCTTTGAGGAAAGCTAACGTACTTTGCAGTGCGAGTTCGCTGGGCATGATGTCTGATGAAGAGAAGCGTGTGCAACGTATAGAAGATATCAAGGAACTATTGAGTTGAGCATCGATAGATGGAACTTTGGATGCTCCAAAATGGCATAAATTCTATACACAAAATATGAATACACATGCCAATGCTCCAACAACGAACTTCACATACTTATGTTTTCGATCTTCTCACGTGATGCGTATGTCACGTGCTCATGCAATCACTTATAGTGTTGACGCAACATTCACTCCACAATCGCATCTCTGATAGACGGACAGCGGGCCACCTATTTCCCACCCTTCTGTCTACTCGCTCTAACAGTCAACTTTCCCTCACGAATCCTTCCTCGATCTTTTCCACAAGAACTCAAGACACCATATCACTTCAACACTACACTTTCCTTATTCACCAGGTCGCATATATCTATTAAGTCCTGCATTACCGTCATCCCAACTATACCCTACACATCATAACCTCATATACCCACACATTCCCCCACATTACTTCACCATTCCCTCCAACCAGAACCAAACAAAGAAAAAAAAAGAAAAACCCTTGTATACTGTACGTTCAAAACAAACCCAACCCCAACCCCGCCGCTCCAATCAACAGCCCCGCAATCCTCCCCGTCGGTACCGCAGCGCCACCCGTAAACTCGGGTAGCAAACTAGAAAAGGGCACGGAGAACGATGGCGCGTGTTCGGTAGACGTGGTCGTAGTGCGTGTGGAAGACGGGGTGGATATGATGACGGGAGGGATGAAAGAAGAAGAAAGGGATTCTTCTTCGCCAGAGGGAGAGGAAGGAACGAGGATGCTGGTTGGTTTTGTGGAGGAAGGGGGTGGAGGGGGACCTTGAGATGGGGTGTCAGCGGTGCTGAGGGGTGGAAGAGAGGGACTGGGGATTGGGGTGGAAGAGCGGGGCGGTGTGGGGGGTGGCGTACCACTTGGCTCGGGGGCCGGGGTGGAAGGAGATGGAGATGGAGATGGAGATTGAGATGGAAGGGGCATACGTGAGCTAGATCGCGGAGGTGGTGGTGGCGATGGTGGCGAAGAGCTAGTGGGAGATGCAGTAGATGTCGGTGCGGCGGTTGGACTAGCTGGGGCTGTAGATGTCTCGGTCTCGGTCACC